GAGTTGCGCATTTGTTTTCCCCGCGCCGGCCACGCCGCTATTCGCCGAGATCCGTCGCGTGAGGAGCAAAGCATCCTGCGCCGTGCAAGAAAGCCACTTTTACGGTCGCTCCGCCGATGTTGCTCGCGCCCCGGCGTATGTTCCCCTGCTTTCGCCTCCTTCTCCTCTTTTTCTATTTTCCATGCGCGGCGCCGCTATTCGCCAAATTTAGTCACGGGACGAGCAAAGCATCCAGGGCGTGCAGGAAAGCCGGCGCTACGGCCACCCGCCGAGGCTGAATGCGCAACTCTGCTGCCGTAGGTAGCCATATACAGGAACTCTAGCGCTGATGGACACGCAGCGCCATAGGGTGAGCGGTCGTGGAAACTGACGAGCGCAGCTGCCGATGGGAGCCCCGTCGACGCGCGCCAGTCAATGGAACCGAAGGAAACTATCTGCCGTTTTCGCGCTTCACACTGATGACGTCGGATCGCTCCATGAGACAATGAATGCTTCCGCATTAAAAAAAAAAAAAAAATAAACGAGAAAGTTTGAATCCTTTCGCTCGTCGTCGCGAAACCGAGCTCTCCGCATGCTTGGGTAGTTCCACGTGCCACCGCTCTCGACGAAAATGGCGCTGTAGCCAGAGTACCGGCCATCCCGGTCACGAGACAACAACCGAGACCTTCAAAGCCCTCTGGAGCTTGCCGAAGTATTGGGCTTCACTGTTACTTGAGATGGGCACCAAACCATTGAGGTTAGGCCAGGCGCACCAGCGGACAGGCCTGCCTCAAACGAGACTACGGTCTCCAGTGGCCCACAAAGGCCGTCTGTCGAGGCAACAAAGAGACGGTTAGAGGACTGGTGGAAAAAGATCTACCTTAGGGGGCATTAACACGCAAATGCCCCCAGGCTTGGGCATGAATATTGTTCGAGCCCGCCCGATCTAAAAGGAACAGCTGCCATTATCATCATCATCATCATCATCGGTAGGCATCGGTAAAGCCCCTCTATCCTTAAAAAAAGTGGCGCCATTTATTGTTGCAAAAATGCTCGAAACACGTGCCGCGCGCCACTTCTGGGAGAACATGGCGTCTGAAATTTAGCCCAGTGCTACAGTGTACTAGAATACTTGGGTAGTGTTGGGACCGAAGGGGCTCGCCCACTGATCTCTGGATCGCGGACCGCGGCCTCGGCAGCTGGGGCCGAGTGTCGCCACCGGCGGCCATTGATTGACACCAGCCAATGCATGGGACTCTATGGGAAGAACGAGAAAAAGTGACGTTTTCCCCTGTTGTCGGCACTTTGCACTTTTTGGATGCTTTTCAATAAGCCCGCAAAATAGCTTGGCTACAAACATTAAAACTGACAGCCCTCGCAGTTCTAATAAATAAATATTTTGTAGTCGAGAGTGACTCCGCTGTAGTGCAGCTCAATGAGGCGAGAGTTACCTAGGGTAACCGTGGAGTCGGTGGCGGTTTCGTTGAGTTGGGTTTAGCAGACGACAAGCTCGAAGGCTTTGCTACGCGGAATTCGCTTACTCCCGGAAAGCTGCTGTCGAGATGGAACTTCTTTGTCATTTATCAACTTCTCGGCTTTCCTAAGGACGGTCTTATTGGCGGCAAGTTCCTTTGCTTACTTCACTACGAGAGCAACCTTGCCAGCTCAGCCGTAGGTGCTCCGGTACGTTTGATTTTTTTTATCCGGCGACCGGATGTTTGACAAATACCGATTCGATCTCCAAACACCCGGCATAAGAATCGCAGCGCACCATAAAATACTTGCCTCCGAGCACAGCGTACATGCTTCAATATGCTTACTTTTGTGCGTTTCTCCCATAGACTTGCGTGTATTGCCCGGTGTCAAGCAATGGCCGCCGGTGGCGACACCGACGGGCTCCCGATCCGCGATCCAGCCTACTAAAATAGAGATCAGTGGGCTCGCCTGAAGCGCGTGGTATTAATCGCGACAGGTGTCGCGTCCGGCGCCTTACCCGGAAGGTGTGCGCATGCGCGGCTGCACGCGCGAAAATACGAATCTTTGGTGCCGCTTTGGTGGAGTGCACAGAGGATTTCTGATACAGCTACGACCTGCTAGCGGTCGTACCGCGGCATCAATTACGCTGCGGCACGATCGTTAGCAACATGATGCTTCAATGTATTGGACGGTACAAGCTACATTACCCTTCCTTTACATAAAAACAATTGCGACTTTAAAGAAGCGGTTTCGGTTTGTCGGATGGTGAGCATTTTAAATGAAATGCCCATTTCCTTGGTCGCAAATGCCGAACATTAGATATTTAAAAGGGAAATCTAAAACTCGGAAGCAGTTTTTTTTTTTTTTTTCCTATCTTATTTTATAACGGAACGAAACGGCACATACTAAAGTTCGAGATTGTTTTAGTATGTTTTTAATACCCCAGGTTAACTTCTTTGTTTTCTTTTCTGCCCGTCTTCTTTTTCTTGACCTTAATCAGCTCGCTTCACCTGTCACTCACTCTTGGGTCCATTTATGCGACGAACCACCCAAGCGACGGTCGCAAAGGGGTAAGAATCTTCTATTTCTTCGTGGCTGCCACGACCATCCGAGAATCACCCGACGTTCACTTGTAAGAAATGGCTTATAAGCCGTGACAATTTTTATCACGCGTTTTAACATTTAACTTAAGTCCAAAAACTGAGACAATGTGGGCTGAACAAGTAATGCTTTATAAGATTCAAAGAAAACAAGAAACTATTTCACATCATTTTGAGCAGAAAACATGAGCACACGTAGATCAGGCAAGGAAAAAGTTGTAATAGTTTACAGCACGGCATTGAAATAATGGCTACAATGTGCAGCGCATTATCCTCTTGAGGGTAAACCATCTGAAACCTACACGCTCAGAACAATACATTTAACCGACAGCTGCTTTCTGACAACCAGGTAAGTCTCGCCTGAGCAGGGTATTCGAAGGGAAACACCCATGGTTCCACAGGGGGCGTATCTGGTTCACGCAGGCATTCAGGGTGTTTTTGTTTTATTCTTTACAGAACTTTACATATTTTACAAAAGAAAAAAAAAAAAAAAAAAAAAAAAAAACGATGTGGCAGATATGTGGATGCCGTCTGAAGCTTATTTAGGAACCCGATGTGTTTTTTGACGCGGCACACACGGTCACATCCCCCCCCCTCCCCCCCCCCCCCCCCCCCCCCCCCCCCAATTCCACGCCTTCTCCTCCCATCAAAGCCGAATCGTTCTCCTGTTATGGGTGAATAACCGTTGGAATGTTTAATAATGAACCAAGATCTGTTAGTTAACTTGTTTATTAACGGCTTAATTGGCCATGGTGCAATTGCAGTTTTAAAAGGAGTCATTATTAAAGGCAAACACAATTTCGACAATTCGCGAAAAGGCAATGAGGTTCGCAAAATTAATCGTAAAAGTTTGCCTTTCTTCGCTTGATTCAGAAACCGCGTTATGAAAATAATACGTAGAATAGTAACTTAGTCGTCTTGATGTGTGGCGCCGGCGAGTCCACCGAAGAAACGCTGTCGAGTTAGTGACGAGGGGACAGAAACAACTGCGTCATTCTTCTACGCATCAATATCAGCACAACCTTATTCGCGCTTTCAGCGCGCAGTTTTTTTAATTAAGTGAAGAAAGGCAAAATTTTAGCGATGAATATCTCAGGACAGAACGAGCGGGTTGGTAGAGATAATTAAGCTTGAGGAAGAAACGAAAATAGACGGACAAACACAGCAAAAACGAACGCCTTGTTACTTTCGCTCAAAGCTTGTTGTTTGTTCGCGAACTTTTTAAATTAGGTTGGCCTTTAATGATGGCTACCTTTAAAGCTGCAATTGCAACATGGCCCATCAAACATTTCATTAACCCTTTGCATACCGCAAAAATTAAAAAAAAAAAAGATTTGAAAATATTGATTTTTTTTACGTGCCCTATACTCTGTTTCACCTTGTGTTGTACCGCAGGAAAGGCTACACGCGCGAGCTCCTTGCTCTAGGGCACATCTCGGCGGCACGAGCTCCCGTGCACCAAGGGCAGCTGCCGACGCTATGAGCTCGCGCTCCTAGCTTTCGCTACATGCACCGCTCAAAGAGAAAAAAGAAAAAAAGAGGCGGGCTGCGCGAGCCGGATAACTCGACTACAGCGCCGCCACGAACTGTCAATACACGCGCCCTCACGAGCTCCCGTTGCCGAGCCGCTGCGGTCCCAACACTACCCAAGTATTCTATAGAATACTTGGGTATTATTTGGCATGGCGGCACAGCGCAGCACTGGTACAGTGTACTATAGTACACTGTACCAGTGCTGCGCTGTGCCGCCATGATCTTCCCAAGGGCTGCACGTTGCACGTGTCTCGTGCACCGACGCACCTTGCGCAACTTTTAAAACATGAAGGGGCTTTACGGGAGGCGGACTGAAGTGAGTGAAGGAGGGGGGGGGGGGGGGGGGGGGGTACCCCCTTCCGTAGGAGTTCGACAACTGAGGTAATCTAGTAACGTTGACCTAGCCTACGTGTGGAATAAATGGGACCTATCAAAACTGCACGCGCACGCTTCACTTTTTCTAAGTCGAGCTGGTCGAGCCAGTTCAGGAGCGCGAGCTTTTGCACGTGCTCTCGTCTTACCACACGCTTTGCACGAGAAAGCCTGCGTATTTCGAATACAATCTCCGAAGAAAAGAAAGACGTTGTTTTTGTCTACACCATGATCTACCTCCGTCCTCACAGCAGCGACCTCGGCGGACCCGGGCCTTTGGGCCGTTCCCATGGGACGAGTCAGGAAGGAGACACTCCCGTAAGTACAGTGCGCATTCGTGTAACATTTTGTGTCTTATGATCGACCCTCTGCTCGAACAGAAAGCTTCCGTTTTGACGTAGAACTACGTCTTTCTCCGCGCGTGGAAGGGGCCGTGCAAAGTTGGAAGGTCGATATCACGGAAGTTTGGCCACAGAAGTGACGTGTGCGCCGCCTGCTGCCAGAAACCGCGCAGTGCGTACGCGCTTCCTTTCTTTATCTGCTAGTTTTAACGCGACGCGCTCCTGACTGATTGAAACGGCGACAGATACCGCTCCGGCAGCCGTGATTCCACAATCTTCGCTTATCGCTCTGGACAGCAGCCGAGCTCGCGTGCTCTGCGGTACGGGCAGTTTTTTGTTGGAGCCGACGCAGCTGTTGCTATAGCAACCCTCGACCTCGGTTGGACTCGACGTAAGTGTGTGAATCGCCTTTTACCAAACAAAGATGAAAGAGCGTGTTGGTGAAAATACGGGAGTCAAAGAAAGAATAAAAACACTTAAGGACAAGGACAGACAGCACAGTTCTTTCAACTAGCAACACACATTTACTGGTGTCTCCTTCAATAGTGCTATCTTCTTCCTAACGTTTGAGACTAAAGAGGAAGATGCGGAATTAATATATACACCCGGAAAAAAAAAAAAAAAAAAAAAAACTGTGCTGTCTGTCCTTGTCCTTAAGTGTTTTTATTCTTTCTTTGACTCCCGCCTTTTACCACTCTCTCATTTCTTGGGCCACCTAAAGTTACTGGATAATGGGAAGGTAGCGCCAAACTCTCCGTACAGTCGCTATTTTGGCATATCACATGAGCAATAGACTACTTCCATAAAGCCCTACATGCAACACGGCGCGCGTTGCACTCTGGGAACTAGTTGGCCAACCAGGGAGGAGGCTGGCATGGTTTCGGTTTCGATCGACACGTCGACCAGAGATTATACACAGAGCGTGGGCTATTAACGGCCGCTATCTCATGTTTTCTGGTCCCGAGAGCGTCATTTGTGGTCTCTAAACTAACCTAAATGGCCAGACCTCGAAGCTTTAGACAAGCCCGAGACGTATAGCTTGTCTTAACTCATGCTTGTTGTATTTTTGTACTTGAGCCTTTCTGTTAGCGTTCCAATCGAGGTATGTGGACGAGCCAGTGCTGGGAATCTCGACGCTGCGAAGCTCGGGGATCTTGCTTGTGTACGAATCAACAAGCTGTAGCAACCAATAAGTATGCATGCATCGAGCTAGGGCCTTTACTTTAGTGTTGTTGATCAGAAAGTTTGTTTGCTTCGTGCGTCCATAGACGAAATATCACTTTTTGCAATTACTGTTTTTCTTAATATGCCTGAGTACGCGAGGTAAAACTCGGAGGCGCCATTGAAAAGCTCAATTTAACACACTTCTTACCTCTTATCCTTACTGACCCACAGCACTGCACGAAGTGAGGTCCCCACCCGCTTGCATTCCACTAATGTTCAACATGGCGTATGCGCATAAAGTTATCCTGCCAATCATATAGGCACATTCGCACTTACAGACAGTTTTTAGAAAGCAAATGTCGAGCACTTGTGTGAAGAATGTCGCACCGTTCGCCGGGAGTGCGCCGGACGGGCATGAACCCCTATGCGGTGCGCCAAATAAATGGAATTATTCAAAGCGCGTTTGACGGTTGCTAATGGCGATAATAATTGTTAAGTGTTTGCTTTCTTCCTGCCTGAGTACGTCGAGATAATTTCAGACATACCGTTCAGGCACAGATTTTGGGCGTCAGTAAAAGCTCGTCCAAAAAGGCTTAGCGAGGAGTAGGGGACGCTTGTTAGAGCCTCCGTCGTAGCTAGCCGATCTCAGCGTTTGCGAAAACTTAATCTTCTATCAGCATAAAATTTGAGTGGGAGATATATGATGACACGAGGAAGACATCATAATAACTTTTGTGCGGTAGTGAGGTCGAATTTATTGCGTTTCCTTAAAAGTTCATGCGTCAACGCTAGGCTCAACTCTGATACTCCTGTGAGAATGCGGCTTGCTTTTTGCCGAATGAAGTAACAAGAAGCGGACGTTTGGCAAACAAAATAGGTGAAAGGCACCGGATGAACAAATTTCAGTTGTTGTTCACTGGTACTAGACGGGATTATTGAAATTGAACTGAAAGATGCATTCGTGGGGTGAGGTGACTAACCCCCGTCTTACTACGTTTGCGCACGCACTCATAATATCCGGTGTTTCGGGAACCAAGAAAAGTGCTCCGGTCTTCGTTTTGTATCGCTCGAGAATGCGTGTATTGTACTTTCGTGAAAAGTAAGATAATCGAAAACGCAAGCAGCGCGTTCGGTCGCGGCGTGATAGCATGAGGTGAAGCTGCTCACTCGAAACCGAAACTGAGCGGCCAACTAGTTCCCAGAGTGCACTGCGTGGTATTTCGCCGCAATGGGGCGCGTCGGTTTTGGAAGAAGTCCATTTCTCTTTGACCTCTCCGTTTTTGGTAAGCCAATCTATAATCTCTGGTGGAGGTTAGCTTTATAGATACGTTTCTTGTATACCGATATCTTGACATCCAGATACCGGCGAAACAAGCGTACATCCTCGTGCCGTCACCGCATGCGGTGTCGGTGCTTGGAGGCAGTAAAAATAATTATCTGGTTTGGCACTACGTAAGAAAAACAATATCATTGTAGGAGATCCGTGGAGATGGGCATGATTGATAAGTTTATTGCATACACCGTGCCAAAAAAGTTTATATTGGCGAGGAACGCCTTCAGTACGATGATGCTCCATGGTGATTTTGGTGCGACTGGTTTAGAACGACCCTCTCGAAGCTTTGAAGATATAAAGGGGCCGAAATGGCGACTTCTATGGCAATGGACACCGATGGTGTGTGTCACGTCGTACACTGTACAATGTCAATAAATAATTCTTCATTAGCCAATTACCTTGCGATGTCTTGGTGTCTCTATGTGTTTGTATCCGGCTAGCAGGCAGAGAAGACAATGGCGTTACTTTCCCAGGATTCAGTGACTTTAGTGTCACCCACTCGTAGTTCTACATAAATATAGGCAGCATAGAACAGCTATGCACCGGCAATTTTTAGAGCGCAGCTCTTAAGCGCCCGATTTCGGCTTGAGCGGCGTCGGCGTCGCCGTCGGCGTCGGCATAACCGCGCGGTGCATTATGGGTAAATTTCCCCGCTAAATCTAGCGGAAAAATTTCCCCGCTAAATCTAGCAGAAAAATTTCCCCGCTAAATCTAGCGGAAAAATTTCCCCGCTAAATCTAGCGGAGAAATTTCCCCGCTAAATCTAGCGGAAAAATTTCCCCGCTAGATTTAGCGGAAAAATTTCCCCGCTAGATTTAGCAAAAAAATTTCCCCGCTAAATCTAGCGGAAAAATTTCCCCGCTAGATTTAGCGGAAAAATTTCCCCGCTAGATTTAGCAAAAAATTTCCCCGCTAAATCTAGCGGAACAATTTCCCCGCTAAATCTAGCAGAAAAATTTCCCCGCTAAATCTAGCGGAACATTTCCCCGCTAAATCTAGTGGAGAAATTTCCCCGCTAAATCTAGCGGAAAAATTTCCCCGCTAGATTTAGCGGAAAAATTTCCCCGCTAGATTAAGCAAAAAAATTTCCCCGCTAAATCTAGCGGAACATTTTCTCTGGGAGTCACGTGACCTGGGGGTCAAGTGACCCCCACCACCGAGGTCACGTGACCTCGGGGGGGGGGGGGGGGTCAGGTGACCCCTTCCCCAGGTCACGTGACCCCCCTCCGAGAACACGTGACCCTCACTACCCTCTCCTCCTCCTCCTCAAGAGCTGCGCTCTAATTCGGCGTTACAGGGAGTTCGGCTTTCATTTTTTTTGTAAGTCCTTTTTTTGTGTGCGTTACGTTGTGTAGAACTTGGATTTTGAGCTATGTGTGCTGCTTAGACACTGCTTCGTCATTGACACTAGAGCTTCGTGACACAACGGCGGCAATAACAGTTTTATAAACTCGTTGAAGCGGAGAGATCTCTGGCGCCGTGTTCAAGCCAGCGTCCGTCAAGGTCAAAGCAGACACTCCGAACAGAAATAGTGCCTGCCCGTGTGCCATAGACTAACTTTAATTTGGGGGTTCTACGCGCCAAACCAACGACGGGCACCTGGCACACCCCAGCGGAGGACTGAGGATTAATTTCGACCACCTGGGGATCTTTTGACGTGCAACCGAAAGCTCGGTTAAGGGGTGTCCAAACAGGACACTACAAAACGCACGACTCCGACAAATCGTGAAAATTGAAGCGGACGCGCCCGCTTCAATTTTCACGATTTGTCGGAGTCGTGCATTTTGTAGTGTCCTGTTTGGACACCCCTTTACACGGCGCCTTTTCCGCAATAAGCCTCCGTCAGATTGCGGGCACCTCGGCCGGGATCCGAACCCGCCACGTGGGGATCCGTACCGTGTGCCATGGAAACAAGACACTTTCTTTTTACAGCTGTGAGTGGCCCGTCGCCCGGTTTCGCGACGGCGTGACCATAAACGAAAAGTTTCCCCGCTAAATTTGGCAAGAAAATTGGTTGCACATGACCTGACGTCACGGGAGCTACAGACAAATTCAGGTTCCCCGCTAAATTTAGCAGAAAGGTTTACGTCACGTGACTTACGCACCAAAAACCTTTGCAGACTCGATACGGAACGATCAAGGAGGATGTAAAAAAAAAAGTTAGCTGGGTGAAGCATGGCTGAGCGGGCGGCGGCCATCGTGCCGTGGGCAAGAACCCGCATATCGCCGCAGCTGCGTTCGCGCTTTGCCGCGCGTTTTATGAAGGTAGTGGCGGTTACAAAACAGTGAAAACTACGAACAGCTCGTCTGATAACAATTTATTTGTCGTTTCTTAGCACTCAGTTGACCTATATTAAGCAGCAAGACAATTAAAAACATTAGAAATCCCTTTAAAATATCAGATTGATGAGTTAAAACCAAGCCTTGGTTAAAACGGTCACATTGATGAGTTTATTTTACTGATGGCTGAAGATAATCACCCCTGACAGAAGCGGCCTCATCTTGTTGATCATTTCTCTATTCCTTTTCTTTGTCAAATGGTAAATTCTGACCTTTAGGTACCCTTCAGCCAGCTTCTCACACAAGCTGTAACTATGATTGTCTAGAAGATCGCAGCCTAGAAAGTGTGGTTCCAGTTGCAAGAACTACTTCTTTCCTGGCAATGCACGTACTCAACACTTCCAAGATCAGCTGTTTGGTCCTATTCTCCACCGCTTTGACGGTTTCCCACTCGGCCTAAAACCGCCGAAGCTCTTTCTTGACAGCTTCCCACAGCCCGACGACGTCTTGTGATGGAGAAACAAATCCACCCCGGCTTTTTTTTTTTTTTTTTGCCTAACAAGAGGTGCAAACTCTTGTGAATGCAGGGCTGCGATATACTCTTGGCATGTTAT